ATCGTTGGCTATGAGCAGTTGTAAATTGTTGATTATTACTGATTGTTAGTTTAAGGATGTAAATAAAACATGCAAGTCAGATGTAGACCAAGCCAAACATTGGCACAATCACCAAGTTCCATAATAAATGTAGTGAAAAGTGGCAAGTTTGGTTCTCGGTAACATGAAAAAAGACATGCTTGGAATTTAAAAATGGTGCAAGGCAATTTAGAATATAAGCATACTTATGCTAAGCAACCACACATTTACAAAGATACTAAGAAAAAGGATAGTTAAAATGTAAGTAGCATTAATAAAAGATAAAAGCAAAAAAAGTTTAATGAACTCCCATAACTTCAATCCAACCCATTAGATAACACAGAATGAGTAGCATAGGCAGTTGAATAAATACAGAGTAGTAGTATAATAGATATGGGGTAGGACAATAATATAGTTCGAAAGGTCATGAATATAGCAAAATAACTTTACAGCAGAATGACCATGGTGCTAGGAAATCGTATAGATCTGGGTGGAATGTATCAATCTCCCTGTCCAAGATCGGGTGCGTTTTTACAATAGAAAATCACTACCTAGCTTCCCGATAGGGAGCTGATTTCTATTGTAAAAGCGCACCCGATCTTGACAGGGAGATTGATACATTCCACCCTTGGAATAGGTATAAGTCTCTCTGACAAGAAGCCAATAAACAGCATTCAATATGACAGCGAGACAGTTTCAAATGAATAAACATAGTAGAATGACGAAGCAGTAACAGCATTAAATAGGTTGAAAATAGTGAAGAAGCAGCTGGACGACCCAATTCTGACATTTAGGGCGTACGAGCGGCGCGCACTGACTGAGCCGACGTACTTATACCGGACGCGCGGAGTGCCATGAATGATGCTGGGCGAGCGCGTACCATAACGTGTGCGGAAAATCTCGTACACTCCCTGCAGTCTAACGATAAATCCCTACAGTTCCGTGCAGTTGTTCACTAGGAAGACGCGCATTTAATTTTACGCTTTACTTTGATTACGGTATCCATCCGATAGCGTGTTGCATTTTATAATTCTGTACAAATATCTCTACAGAGGAACCATAGTCTATTTGGTCCCCTGAGAAGGATGCTCCCCGCTCAAATTCATTCTTGATGCTCCTCTTTTCATGTTCAATTGTTATTTTATCTTCAAGTAATCTTTTTAACATTTTCTGTTTGGGATAACGTTTCTTGCATCGTTTGGTGCATCTGCGTTACCTTCAATTCCTATATTCACCAAATCACGCTATTACTCCCAAAAAATCCAAATGTAAGTTCAGTATTTTATCAAATACTTCTTGTCATTTAGTGGTTTTATCAAAATAGCTTGCATACTGGGCTAAGCCCAACAGTTTGAAGAACTCAAAATTTTTAAAATAGTTTTGAACTGAATTTTGTTTCGGAGAAGACACATCACCTTTTAGATGTCCGATTGAAAACCAAGTTTTGAATCTAGACTTCAAAACATGACTGTCGTACTCTTATATAGCATGCTAACATATACCCTCACATTAATTGTTGGCAATTTAGAACGAGCGAAAAACCAAATTAGTAAAAGCATTAGATATTGGTCTGAATGGAAATCGTATTCGTTAACAACATCCTAGCACACCGTTATTATTCAGTTCAGCATCTCAGCTCGATAATTGCGAAAACGATGAATTAGTAGATTCAACTAAAAATCTTCAAGTGGTCCTCACATTCGTAATCAGCATATCAGCTTACCTCAGTACACCAAGTCCCAGCGTTTCAGTGCGAAAACAGACGAAAAATAAATAAGACGGTGAAACAATAGTTAATTGTTTGAAAACAATCAGTAATCGATTTGAAACAAAAATTTGTGTATATACCCAATAATGCTATTTCACATAGCTCTGATGTGCAGTGTTTATGGCTGTCTGCAGTTCGCTTTGCTCAGCAGTCGTACTTTATCTCGTTATCTTTCCAGCAGAGATTTGTATTCGCAAGGACGCAGACACTAGTGCCCATTAGGTGTTACGATCAACCTGTTGGCTGTAATGGTTGCTCGTCAGAGGGAATCTCTTACGCTCGGTCTATCTGGTGCTGAAATAAAGGTACCTTTCATCTGCTTTTAGAAACTTCCATATCATACCTACGAACTCATCTTACTCACATCAAAAGTTATTGTATGTCTTTGATGCTGTTGATTTAAGGTAGAATTATTTAAGCT